GACATAAGTTTTTTCCTACGTTGCCACCGTCTGCCGTCCGATTGCTCTGATGTGTTCTCTTGTGAATGGTCGCCGAGATGCAGACGACGATTGGCTCGGGGAGGCTTGTGTGGAGGTTCTCCTTTCCTCATCCCTCTACTCGGGGTAGCTGGTTCCTTTGGATTTGGCTGGTGGCGGCGGCGGTCCTTTTCCAGCAACAGCGACGGAGGTTCCAGAGGAGGGCATTGAACGTCTAGGGTTAGAAGACTGAAGCTCTGGTTTTGGCCCATGGTCTGGACTCTATTGAGTCTCTGGACTTTTGTTTGGGACTGTGTTTTAGTCTTTTAGCTTGTTGTTGTTTAATTGTCTGTAAACTTTTCCATTGGGCTTGGCCCATTTACTCTTAATGAACTTAACTTGTCAAAAAAAAAAAGCATATCGTCTTAATAAAGGTTCTAAAAATCTTTTAAAATTTTAACATCGAAGACGTTCTTTCAAATCCATGACCCTACCAAAATAGTTATTTACAGGTTTGCCTTCTTCATCTCCAACACTTCAAAGTCTTTTCCAAGGTCTCGAAGGTGAGCTCGTTTGACTCTTGCACTAGCTTGAAACTTGGTGTTCAATGAATCTCACAACTCCTTAGCAATGCCCCTATGGGAGTTAATACTCTTCAAAATAGTCATATCGATAATACTGACCAAGTAGTCTTTGCTTACGAATCCTTTGGTTTTAGGGGTCGTTTGGATGAGGAATTGTAACGGATTAATTTGACGCAATTGTCTCATTTTGAGACAATTGTGCCAAATTGACTCATTTGCCAGCAAAAAACATGGATAGATCAATATGCGTGAGGTATTTTTAATTGATTCATTTTGAGTCAATTATATTTCAATTGTTTGGGGTGGGGGCAGGTAATTCGAATTGACTCGTTTTAATTGACTCGTTTATAAAATGAGACAATTGGTCAAATTGTCTCATTTCTAGATTGATCCGTCCAAACGACAAAGCCTTAATACTTGAGCAGCAGTAGCCTTAGTTCCGGGTGTTAATTTTGTGAATTCGTCATCCACAATAGTCCAACATTCCTTCGACCTCGAGAGTTTCCATGAGGGGACTCTAATGATCATAAATTTCATCAAACTTAGAGATACAAATTTGAGGGAAATCTCAGAACGTCCTGGTTGTTGCTTTTCTCAAATACAATACTCAATGAGTATCGATATTAAGAGAGTAATTGAAGCTCTCGAAATAGTTTTATTCGCTGGTATTGGAACAAATTAATTCTTGACGGTAAAGGAATGTACCTCGTGAAAGAGCTGAAAACTGAGGTTGGTTAAATGGAAAAAGTAGATACATATGCATAGATATGGTAGGGAGATGAGCGGAGGAGAATCCTGAGAAGGGGTACAAGACATGTTTTTGACAGATAATTCAGAAATTAACATCTAACAACCTGGCAACTACCATTACCTTGGTCCCCAGCAAGCTTCCCGTAATTATACTACAGAAGAAGAAGAAGAACACCATGGGAGTGGGAAATTATTTGGCAAAATAAAGTCGTGGCAAGAATTATTTATTTGTATAATATAATCGCTTTCAGGAATGAATGAATGGAAATAATATTTTAAAAAAACTAAGTATCCTTATTTATTGTGGTAGGTCATACCCCTAACTGAATTGGTTACTACTTATTTCCCAGCCATAAATGAATTGGCCTAACTAACACCCTCGTTTAGTTTCACAAATTCATAAGTCGCGCGTTACTGAATAGAATTCAGATCAACTAAAACATCCAACAGGTTTTTTTTACATCAATCATAAGTTTATCTTCACGAGTTAGATATATTATTACTATTATTTTTTATAACAAGTATCTCGATACAAAATTTTGGATATTCGATATTTATGATTGTTGAGCAAACAATGTGAGCGAGTGATTGAACTCAAAAATCTACAACTACTTGACGACCTTTTTAGCTTACCATGTGAACCGTCTTAAGATTAGTAGATTGTGATAAGTATTGTGATGAGGAGAGATAACCATGAAGACAAAATGTTAGATCAAGGAACCCTGCAAAGGTCCAAATCACCAAATTGGTTCTTGTTCAACGTGGCTCCACGAGTTTCATGGTTTTGCAATCAAATTCAAGTTCCATTTTTGGCAGCTAAAAATAAGTAATTGCTTTGAGTAAATTAAATAAATTAAAATCCAAATACAGATCCATAAACAAAATTTCATACTTAAATTACCAAACTAGCCAACTTCTTTTCGTATGACATTGTGCTTAATTGACATTGTGCAGAATTTATGGTGAACTACCTAATCATTGTGCAATTTTTTAAAAACATAATTAAGAACCAACCAAAATTTGTTAATTAATAGCAATTCCTTTTGCAAAGTAATATAAATAAATTTATAATACAACTCAAGGTAAGAAGGTGGAGGAATAAAAAATCCGAACCCTACAACTTGACCTAATAAAACCAATATGTTAATGTAATTAAGAATCAACAACTTTAACCTAACTCAAGGATGATTATGGACGTGATTCATGGTTATTTCTCAGATGGGTGAGTAGTTGTCCGTAGAACAAGTTTGTAAGGATGTGGTACCAGATTTATATATGAGATTGATCCAATAATGGAAGTTATTATAATTAGTTTATTTATGATATTAGAGTCTGGTGTCACCATGGCCATCAAAATTAGAGAGCAAAATTTTCATCCCAAAATAGAGAAATCAAAATTTTTAATGAATTTATATATTTGAATTTCAAAAACAAAATCAACTAGAAAAAAAATGATAATCTGATTAGAATAATCAAATTGCCTGAGGGTTCCATAGTAAAATTTGAAGGAGGTTAGGAAAAAAAAGGAGCTTTGATTATTCTAGTTTCCAAGTAGGGTAAATACAATATAATAGCCAAACCTTTCGTTTTAAACAAAATAATAATCAAATCTTTTCGAAAACAATATAATATCCAAACCGTTAACTTTCCGTCCGGTCCACCGTTAGTTGACTGTGACGTGGCCACTACGCTGATATTGAAAAAAGAATGGATATATATTAATGTCAATTAATTATTCTTTCAAATAAATTAAAATGTTTCGGATGCATAAGGGTTTCTCAATCTGTCTCTCTTCCTCCTTTTACATCAAAATCCAAAATCAAAGACTGTAACTTCTCTGCACATCAAAATCCAAAATCGAAGATTTATCTACCCCATTCCCCTCATTCCTCTCTTTTCAGATTTGGCAGTGGAGGGATTGTGAACGAGAGACCAGATGGCGATACCAGCAAGCGATAGCTCCCCTGAGCTCTAACCAGACTTATTACTCGTTTCTTTCCAGATCTGAGCCTTCCTAACCAAACCGCTCGTTTCTTTCCAAAATCGTCGACTGCGAAATATGGCTGAAGAAGGCGCCGAAGATGAAGATGAAGATGAGCTGGAGGACGGGATGAGGAGGAGCTCCGCCATGAACCCGGGCTGTCATCTTGCAGAGGCAGATATGTTGCGGGAGCGTTAGGGATTTGGGGAGGAATGGGGAGAGGTAACGGCGGCGAAAGGACGGGATTCAGAGGATGTCGATCATGGCCCAGAGGGTGGCGAAGAGGACCAATAAAGATTGGGCCTGAAATTGAAGCTCCAGAAGTGGCGGCGGCGATGGCGGTGTAAGATGGAGAGAAGGGAGATGAGGGAGCGAGAATGACGGGGAAAGGATGGGACGAGCGTTCGAGAATAGGGATGAGATGGGATAAGAGTGGGTTTCTTAAGATTATTATTTTATTAATATACAAATTAGTTAAAATTAATATATATATATCTATTTGGCACAAGTCAAATTATTGACTTTCAGCCATGTCAGCATGTATTGGCCAAGTCATGGTCAACTAACGGTTGACCAGACGGAAAGTTAACAGTTTCGCTATTATATTGTTTTCGAAAAGATTTGGTTATTATTTTGTTTATAATGAAAGATTTGACTATTATATTGAATTTACTTACTTGATAATAGGTAACTGTGGGCTTCTACTGGAGTCCAAAAACGAAGCCCAATAGTACTTAGCATTATGAACATGACTGGGCGGCTGGGCCCACAGGAACGCCACCTCTTACTCTTCTTCTTATCATTATCAATCCGACCCTTCCCCGGCGCAATGTGTATCGTGTAGCTTGTCCCTTTCCTTTCCCACCTTCTTTTTCACTCTATTTCCCAGTTTTACTACTCTCTACTTCTTCTTTTCCATCTTTTAACTGTTTTGTTTGTTTTTATCCGGCAATTAATAGATTAAATAAATTAAAGAAGAAAGAGGACGAAAATTATTGCCTTGATCTGATGATCTCTGTGCTCTTATTAGAGTTGGGTGCCTGCCGGATGCCGGGAGGGTTCCCTCTCATTTTGTCCATATATACAGTTTCAAGTTAAACTGTAAATGAGACTACTACAGTATTAAGTGTTGTGATCTTTAACTTAAGAGCACTACTTTTCATCTCAAGCATTGTAGGTATAATATGATTATCTAGCAAAATAAATTTTTTCATAATTGAATCAATTATTAGTCTACCATATAAAAAAAGTTCGATAAACACCAATTAGATAATCAAAAAATTAATTCCCTTAGCACTTTTGTTTTATAACCTAATTTACAGCGATTTTGTATATTTCGTATCTGACTATTTTGTATTTTCCTTTCAGAATATCTTTGAGGGGAAAAATCATTCTTATTTTAGCTATTTAAATAAAAACTCATGTCATGTAATATGAAAGAAGTGTTTATTTTCTATAGAGAAGGAACTAGCTACAGGTAAGGAATTCAAGTAACAATGGCACGCTTTAGAGCAAGTTAGCTACATGTTTATGCTTGTACTTCTTCAATTCTTCATATAATTTTTGTGAAAACATTTGCGTGCAGAGCAGAGCTTCCTTCCAAATCGATCATCTCCCCCCCACTTTTCGTGTTGCTGTATATGAATTCTCAAGTTTAACTCCCAATAAACTAACTGATTAAAACAACTCACTCTTCTATTAAAATATATATATGCTTCAACAAAGAAGGACTTGGTTGGAAAGAGCAATTACAAAAGATCAAGTGAAGATTCCCCAGCACTACTTACTTTCAGAAGGGAAAAAAACTTATTTTAAACTTGTCCTTGAATAATTGACAATTTGACAGGCAGCTCCCACCCCACAACCCCCAAAATACACATTGAAAAAAATTGGAAAAAATGAAATATAATTAACCATCACACACACAGCACAACACAGCAACAGCCATCTCATCTCCACTCTTCATAAAACCCCTCATTGCAAGAATTCACCCCTTCTTCTTCTTCTTCTACAATTTCTCTCTCTCTCTTCTTTCTCTCACTAATAATTCTCATCTCCTTCCCATCAATCTCCCCACTTGCCCGTTTCCGCCCACTCTTCATTTTTATTGTGGAGGGAATTTGCGCGCCGGTAGGGAAGGGGAAGGGGCAAGCAATCAAATGGCGGGGGAATTTTCTCACCAATATCTAAAAGAAACTATTCGAGATTCCTCTGGCGGGGATATCGCCATGGCAGCAGCTCCTCCTCCGCCGCCTCATCTTGGCGCTGCAGAAGAACCAGTCGGCCGCGAAAACGGCGGCGGCAATTCGAATTCCGGCGAGATTGACGAGAGGAGCAGCAACAGAGGTGATGAAGGAGGAGGAGTCGGCGGCGGCGGCGGTGGGCTGAGTGGCGGTAGTTACGGCGGGAACCGGTGGCCTCGGCCGGAAACCATAGCGCTGTTGAGGATAAGGTCGGAGATGGATTCCGTTTTTCGCGACTCCACTCCTAAAGCTCCATTGTGGGAAGAAGTTTCCAGGTAAAAAATTTTGAGCTCCAAAAAGCGGAAAAAAATTTCTCTCCCCAGATCCACCCCATCCTAATCTCTCTCTGTCTTCCCCTACCGTAATTATTGATAATCATAATTGTGGGAACAAGTTTCAAGGTACGAAGGGAAGAAGAAGCCCACCATTTTTTTTTTGGCAGCACAGAAAACAAATTAAATCACAAGAAGAGCATAATTTAATACCATATCATTCACTTTAATTTGTCTGTGATGATCCCCACGGTGGGCTTAATTACACGTTAAATTAGTAAAACAAAAAACAAAAATTGATGTGTGTTTAGTAATTTAATCTGTTCAAATTGATGGAAGAGCAGGAAGCTAGCGGAGCTTGGATATCATCGAAGCGCCAAGAAATGCAAAGAGAAGTTCGAGAACGTGTCCAAGTACCACAAACGCACCAAAGATGGCCGCACCGCCAAGCACGACGGCAAGACCTACCGCTTCTTCCAAGAATTGGAAGCTTTCGAAGGCAAGCAGCAGCACCTCCAATCCTCCGCCGCTCCTCCTCCACCGCCGATGATGGCCGCGTCGGCAGTAATTACTCCGGCATTGCCATTGGCCGCCGCGGTTCCAAAAAACAACACAATTCCACATCCAATAATGGCGACTGTTCCATCAGCGCACGGTAACAGTACTACGAATATTGCCACTAGTACTACTACTTGCATCAACTTCACCATCACCCCTCCGAGCCATCTCAGCCCTACACCTGTCACGCCAGCCGAGCCCATCTCCTCATCCCAGCCGCTCAATCCCAGCCCGCAGAGCGTCTTCCACCCTTCCTACGACCACCGCCACCACAACAATCACAAGGCCGCCGCCGCCGCCGACTCGCACCATCTCTTCTCCAGATCCACCTCCTCCTCCACCGCCTCCGACGAGGAACTCGATGAGGCGGCCGCCGCGGGGACGATTACTCCCGCCCGGAATAATAAGAGGAAGAGAAAGTGGAAGGACTTCTTCAGCAAGCTGACCGAAGGCGTGATCCGGAAGCAAGAGGAGCTACAGAAGAAGTTTCTGGAAACCGTCGAGAAATTGGACCGCGAGCGCCTGATTCGAGAGGATGCGTGGCGCGTCCAGGAGACGGCCAGGATCAATCGCGAGCACGAGGTCCTAATTCAGGAGCGATCCACCGCCGCCGCGAAAGACGCCGCCGTCCTCGCATTCCTCCAGAAAATGTCCGGAGGCGAAGGACAACAAATTCCTCCTCCACCGCCCCAGCCGCTGCCACCGATGCTACCGCCGCAGCCATCTCCTGCGGCGAGGAGAGAGAGCAGCGCTGCTGGCGCCGCCGCGGCTGCGGCTGCGAGTTCGTCGCGGTGGCCGAAGGTGGAAGTGGACGCGCTGATCGGGCTTCGGACGAGGCTGGACGAGAAGTATCTGGAGAACGGGCCCAAGGGCCCGCTGTGGGAGGAGATATCGGCGGAGATGAAGAAGATCGGGTACAATCGGAGCGCGAAGAGGTGCAAGGAGAAGTGGGAGAACATCAACAAGTACTTCAAGAAGGTGAAGGAGAGCAACAAGAGGCGGCCGGAGGATTCCAAGACCTGCCCCTACTTCCACCAATTGGATGCATTGTACAGGGAGAAGAGCATCGGCAGCACCAAGGCGGCCGGAATCGTAATGTCCCCCGCGGCGGGCGGCGGTGGTTACATCGCGGCCAATCCGTTGAGGGCGGTGGAGCCGGTGGCAGCTGGTATGGATCAAACGCAGCCGCAGCAGCAGCAGCAATGGCAGGCTCATCCGGCTCCGCCAGCGCCCAAGCAGCGTAATGCCGAAGAGGAGGAGGAAGATGAGGAGGAGGATGAGGAGGATTATGAAGATCTGGAGACGGAGGACGATGAGGAAGGCGATGGCGATGGCGGCGGCAATGGAGGTGGATTTCAAGTTGTACAGAATAGACCCGTAGCCGCGAACGAACGGTGAGTGAATTTTGACAAAAAAAAAAAGAGTAAAAAAATCCGGTCAATTTGGTGAAAACACTGGCTGGATTTTTTTACCGTGGAACTATACGGTAACGGTATCGTAGTAGTTTCTTCGATCTGGTGGTGGCGGAACATTACAAATGTGTGGGACTTCAATTATGCCCATACATACACATGGGACAGGGTGGGGAGGAAGAGAAATGGGGTTGGTTTTGCGTTTTGGTTTGCATTCTACAGTGGGATCCATAAACAAATTTTTTATTTATTTTTCGGTTCAGTTTTATTTTATTTATTTTTTTCTCCCTCAAATTGTTTGTTGCATAAACCACTCTGAAGAAAGAGAGAGCGGACAGGATGAATAAAGAATATATATACAGAGAGAGGGAGCGGGGAGTTATTTACTTATTTTTCATCATCATTATTATTACAATTTACTAGTTCTTTATTATTTTAATTTGTATTTAAGGTTGTGTCCATATAGAGAGATTGGGGGCAAAAGGAAAAAGAGGAAGAAATAAAAGGGAGAATTTGCAGTGATGTATCTATCTGTCTATCTTCTATCAACTGAGTTTGTTTATGATGCTTGTTGAGAAATTATCAACATGGAAAGTGTTGAAAATATTGAGAATTGCAAAAAAAAAAAAAAAAAAAAAAGGAGTTAGTTTGCAACAATCTTCTTTCTCGTTGCAACTAGTGCACTAGTGCATTCTGTTGGGAATATGTGTGGTGGGGGTATCCTTTAACAACTTATGAAAAATCATCTCCCAAAGCACTTATTATTACCTTTTTTACTCTGAGTAAAACCTTTTTTTTTTACTCTCTGCCATCAAGCCATATTTTACTACACAACGTCTCTGTGGTTCTTTATAGTTAGGGGTGGGCAACGGGACGGGACGGGATACTCGTCCCGTTTGAAACGGGTACCTAATCCCACTTGGAGAGCAATCTCCATCCCATTTCCCAAACTCATATGGATTAACGGGTACCCGTTACTTGTACAAGACGGATAACGGGTACCCATACTAGTTACTACCTATAAATACCCGTACAAAATTTCATCGAATCGCTTCTTTGCATCTCCCCAGCTCGTTCCTAGAAACAACAAAACTATTTGCTCTGCACACAAACCAAAACAGCAACCACATAAAAGAACAATCAATAACATATCAGAAACAAGAAGGCTGCATTGAGATGTGATGAAGTGAAAGCTCGTGTATCCTTGATTCCCATGCATCTCACCAGGTTGAGTGATTTCAACTTGGCTCCACAGTTTAAGATTGCCTGATGATTCCTGCTTTTGTAACTCTATTGCACTCTTCCAGCTGCAAGCTCTCGAGACAGCCTGCTGATGTGAAACTCACCAATCCATTATCATATCCAAATGAACATTTGGTGTCGCGAAGGTAAATTTGGTTCAATTATGTTGAGCCTATTTCGTTCTTTTAATATATGTGTTCACAATTATCAATATAAAAAACAATCTTGCAATAATTTTGGACTAATGAGTATAACGGGTACTCGTAATATCCAAACGGGTATTAACGGATAACCCGTGGTTACCCAAAGTAGCGATTCTTGATCCCAAGTCCCATCCCGTAAAAAAAATTACGGGTAATTGGCTACCCGTAACCCGCAAAAAATAGGACGGATATGGGTATACCCAAATACCCGTTTCCCGTTGCCCACCCCTATTTATAGTTAATCATACGCTTTAGCATATCTAATAATATCCTAACATATTAATTATATAAATCAGGTATGTATTACAGTAAAATGTATATTAAAATTGGTAGTGGGGCGACATTGTAATGTGACAGGACTGTGTTGTGTGTATGTTTTTTGAAGGGCAGCCTTTGATTATGAAAGATCGGGCATTTCACTGAGAGGGGCCCTCTCTCCCTATTCCCCTTCTCTAACATGCCAAACCATCACATGTGTGCCAGCTAATACGAATCTTCTTCTTTCAGTTATTCCAATCAATTCCCTCCCCAAATGACCCGAGCCGTGATGAGTTTTGAACTTTGATTCTTTATAAACGAGTTTGAGCTATAAACCAGTTGAGTTCGACCTCGATTTGTTTACGAAAATCATGGTTTGTACTTGACTCGATTTCGATTCGAGTTCGGCTTATTAATGAGCTTATGAGCTCTACTCGAGATCGGCTTATCAATTAAATTGCAAGATCGACTTGAGTTTAGGTAACTTATCATAAATTTTAATTGTTCATGTCATGTTATTTAATTGTAATTTATATATGAGCCATTTATGTTACATAATTTCTCTTTTAAATTATAAATGAGATATATGTGATATTGTGTTTAATTCTTAAGTATCATATGTGGTGAGATATATAATCTAACAAACATATGAATTATCAACAAGTCAAAGACAAACTATTAATCGACTCTCTCATATGTTTCTAGCTAGTTGAGGTGGCTTGTTAGTCATACTGTCGAGTCAACTCATAGTTGAAAACGAGCTAGCTCACGAGTTCAGCTCAACAATCCGCTGAGTCGAGCTAGCTCGGGAGCCTTGCAAACCGAACAAAACTTAAATCAAACTGAGCTTAATAGTAAACGAGCCAAATGTCGGACGAACTTTTCTCGAGCTGAATACCAAGCCACGGTTGACTCATTTGCAGCTCTACCTCGCTCCCTATCTTTTGATTTCGGATTAATTCCCTAAATACAGATAAAACTAAAACAAATTCCTAAACTACCACACTTTTAAAAAAAGTGAAAAATAAAGTTAAATGTACTCCCAAACCACCTTATATTAAAAAATATTCCTATTTTGAAAATTTATTCCTAGTAAATGTTGTAGTACTCAAAAAATTATGCAAAACAAAAAAAAACTTTGCGACGTTCGGATTGCGGAGCACAAAGTTATGATCCTCCAAAGTTTGACAAATTCAAAATTTTGCTCGTTTATGGGTAGCAAATGACGTTTTCTAGGAAGATAGCCATCCAAAAATTTCTCGTTTGGAAAAATATTGCTCTTTTGGCAGAAATTCCCTATATATAAAAAATTTCCCGTGCCTTCGCCCCGAGAAAATGTCATTTGTTACCCCTAAATGAGCAAATTTTCAATTTTGCCAAACTTTAGAGGATCATAACTTTGTGCTCCGCAATCCGAATGTCGCAAAGTTTTTTTTTATTTTGCATAATTTTTTGAGTACTACAACATTTACTAGGAATAAATTTTCAAAATAGGAACAGTTTTTAATATAAGGTGGTTTGGGAGTAAATTTAACTTTATTTTTCACATTTTCACATATATTTTGAAAATATTTCTATTATAAAAGTTGTAGTCCTCAAAAAGTTATGCGAAATGAAAAAAAAGTTTGCTACGATCGGATAACCGAGCACAAAGTTAAGGTTGTTGGAAATTTCAAAGGAGTGGTTCGAGTTCAGTATGGTTCGAGGCTTATATCATCGATCTACGACTAGATCGAGTCTCCTAAACTCGAACCGGTTAGTAGTTCGAGTTCCTCAAACTCGAACCACTCCAAACTTAGGTATTTTGGGAATTTTTTTTAAAAGTGTGGTAGTTTAGGAATTTGGTTTAATTTTATCCGTATTTAGGGAATTAATCCTTTGATTTCTTCCCTTTTGCAATTTTTCCTTTTCCTAAAAATGTTTCCATAAAAAAAATGTTTCAAATAAAAAGTGGAGGGCTTGGGCTTCCACTTGCTTTTTTATTTTTTATATATTTTTATTATCCTTTTGGTGTGTCCAATTAATATGATGATGTTGACTTTCGATTCTACAAAGAGCTGAGGGGGTGAGAGCCCCTCATGTATGGATTTAAATTGGATTATTTGTTTCCTCATATCTCATCCATCAAACAACTCATCCTTATTATCCACAGCTTTAGTAATTAGTTCCACAGCTTTAGATAATATATTAAAGTAGTGATAATATTTGGGATGCCACCATACACTGCTCCAATTTTACACTGTGATTGCATTTATAAAATAGCTCACCCTTTTTTTACCATTTTCGTGGCCAGCTTTGTATGTCTGAGTTGCTTTTACCATTAATTTGGGTATTTACAGAGATCAATATATCATTAGATAAGTGTGTACTGTTATGAAAATTTTATGACATGCGAGAAAAAATTCTGCTTATTTTAGATGAATCCAAATAAAACAATATTGTTATAAATTGCTACATTGAAGATGAGTTAGTGAATTCTTCATTGTGATTATTGCTAGCTTTGACTCGTGACGAAACTAGTGTTTCAACTGAACTATGATCTTGTCGGCAATGCCACATAAACGAACAAACTATTTTACGATACCGGTTATCTAGTAGGGTTGCAAGTTGCCAGCTTATTTCCCTGAGAAGAACAAGCATATAAACATCCAACTAAGTATGTTATTTTAGTAACCCTAAGGTTTAGGTGTTCTGAGATGGGTACATTTTTGCGAATTGTCATGAAAAGTTTGCTATTTAAAGAGAGCCCAATAGTATTTTAATGGTCAGGGTCTCATTATATATATTTTTTATATACTTATATTTCTGATCTCGATTGTTTCTGTTGTGAAGTTGAGACAGTCACAGAAGTGCATGTGTGCTTCTTTGAGATTTTAGCTCCTGTAACTATCATGGCCACAGTAGGCAAAATTTAAGAGGCAGAAACCTGTCCTTATCCTTGACAGAAACTTTCTTCAATTCCCTTTATCTACATGTCTGATAACATTCATATACATCATACTATAGAGATATCTTCTTGGACTGGATAAGGTTACATTTGAACCCACCACAACCCAACTTCAGTGGCAGCATCTATATATATAATTTTCTCAATGGATCTTATTTAGACAGAATTATGGTGCATATGTCCAATCCAATAATTCAACTTCGATCTTATAGCTCTATTAATAGCCAAGGAAACACTTCCTCTTAGGCATGTCAAATGGGTCTTAGGGTATGAGTTTTACCCAAACCCAATAGAATTTGGGTCAAATCAGGTTTTGGGTTTTTCTGTTTTGGAGCAGACCCATACCCATCCAATTAAATTGGGTCCAAGATAGGCCCAGAAAATAAAAATAAAAAAAAATTCAACAGAACCCAAACGGGTTTCTTCATCCTTCGACCTAATACGCTGAACGCCCATCGTATCCCGTCGCCGCCGCCCGCCTGCATCCAGGGTCTTCTCGTGCTGGTCTCAGGGTATATTGGTTCTCGTCGCCGCCGCCCGCCTGCATCCAGAAAGTCTTCAAGATCTAACTCCAATAAGGATTCGTCCCAGAAAAAGGTAACCGCCATCTTCTTCCCCAATTGTAGTTCAAAATTGACGAACAGGGTATTCAATCATCCATTAGTGCTCCCCCCACCAATCTTAATTAGGTCGTGACAATCTACCACAATAGAAAGATTTGACAAAAGAAAACAGAGAGAGCTTTGTGTCATTAATGAACTCATGGGTCTTCTGTGTGCGTGTTTTGATTTGGACTCTTCTCTGGTTCTTTTGTCTTTTTTCTTTCTGGGTTTATCTAATTATGCAATCCCATAAGAAGAACCATCCAAATAGGTAAATTACAATATCAAAGATGGCATTTTTATGCTGTATTTTACTGGTGTAAATACTCACAGTGAAGCTATAGCTAGCTCTGTTCATACTAGCACCGTATCATCTTCCCTAGCATAG